TACTATGGATTCAAGAATCCTTTAAAAAAAAAAAAAACAAAAACTCAGTGCCTTACAATTCACACGAAAGATGGTGTTTTAATACTTTTAGTAACCTGCTTTAGAAGTAGCCAAGATGTAGAAGTTATAAATATGAAATCTACCCTTCTTCCCCCACTCTCCTGAAAAACTCCCACCATTCTGACCTTTGATTGTTGGGTCAGGAAGGAGTTAAAAGTCATGACTGTTAGCAGTGAACTTCTGAAGTTGTCACTAGCCACATTTTAAGTGCTTGGCTGTAGTTAACTACAGGATAGCACAGATTATAGATTTATTTGCATTGTAGTAGTAAGTTCTATTTGACCACACTATTATGGTATCCATGGCAGCGCTATTTTTAAAAATCAAAACCCTTTGGAGAGTAATGTTGTCGGTGTAGGTTCATTGTTTTGTTTTTACATTTTTTTTGAAGTTTATTCATTTTGGGGAGCGGGGGGAAGGGCAGAGAGAGAGAGGGAGACACAGAATCCGAAGCAGGCTCCAGGCTCTGAGCTGTCAGCACTGAGCCCAGTGCGGGGCTCGAACTCACAAACTGTGAGATCGTGACCTGAGCCGAAGTCGGATGCTTGACCCACTGAGCCACCCAGACGCCCCGGTGTAGGTTCATGTTAACAAATGCACCACTGTGTGGGGGATGCTGAGGGTGAAGGAGGCTGTGCATATGTGGGGACTGGGGAATATGGGAACTCTCTATGCTTTCTGCTCAATTTTGCTGCGAACTTAAAACTGTTCTACAAAATACGGTTTGTTAATGTAAGAAACCACAAACCTGCAAAACGTCTACATGTCCATCAATAATAGAACAGATAAATGGTGACATATTCACACCACAGAATACCCTACAGCGGTGACAATGATTTATTTATCAAATGCAAGACTGTGGACGGACCTCACCACGTTGGATTAAAGAAGCCAGATACATGAGTACACGCTGTAGATTTTTTTTAACAATTTTTTAAAATTTTTTTTTTCAACGTTTATTTATTTTTGGGACAGAGAGAGACAGAGCATGAACGGGCGAGGGGCAGAGAGAGAGGGAGACAAAGAATCGGAAACAGGCTCCAGGCTCTGAGCCATCAGCCCAGAGCCCGACGCGGGGCTCGAACTCACGGACCGCGAGATCGTGACCTGGCTAAAGTCGGACGCTTAACCGACTGCGCCACCCAGGCGCCCCTTTAACAATTTTTTTAAAGATTTTTATTTTTAGTAATCGCGGCACTCAACGTGGGGCTTGAACTCAAACCCCGAGATCAAGAGTTGTACCCTCCACCTACTGAGCCTGCCAGGTACCCCGGTAGATTCTGCTTACGTATCATACATAACTTGGTGAAAAGGTGAGAACAGCGGTAGCCCTTGGGGTGGTCAGTCTTTGCTGAAAGGAGGTACGAAGTGCTAACCGTGTTCTCAGTCAAGGTGCCGGTTGCATCAGTAAATTTCAAAACAATAAAGTGATCATGCTAATGGCTGGAACTTGTAAGTCTACCGTACTCCTCGCTACAAGGGTGAGGATACTTAAAAACAGACACCCTCCGGGGTGTCCTAGTTTGGGTTCTTCAGACTCTAAGCAGAGGACTTAGATTTAGTTAATCTGGGAGGCAACCCCCTGAAGCAGAAGTGAGGGAGTGGACAGTGAGGGAAGGGAGGAGGGCAGCGGGCGAGTTAGTGAGATGATTTCCATGAAGGATCTAGTGTGGAAAATGTACAGTGTATGCACCAAGTGACAGGGAAGCTGGGGCACTTAGCACCCAGCCCCCATTCTTGACCAGTTGGGGGTTGCTTCAGGGGTTGTTAAATCCCCAGCCCGTCTAGATTGCCCTGTGTGCGCAGCGAGCAGGCTCCTGTGGTGCAGGAGAAAGGAACGCAGGAAATACAGGGTTTGCAGAGGAAGGGCTCGCACAGGAACGTCCCCTGGGGCTGCAGGTGAACTCAAAGTGGCTAAGGGATGGAGGGGTGTGGAGCATCTACACAGAGAGACATCTCTTACCAGGAATATTTGCTAGAAGATGGAGTCGGATGCTCTTCACAACTGTTGCACATTCATGACGGTTAAATACCAAAGGCATACATCCAGAAATAAGCCCTCACATTTATGTTCAATTCTCGACAAAGGTGCTGAAACAATTCAGTGGGTAAACACTAGTCTTTTCAACAAACTCTCTGGGGCTACTGGATGCCACATGCAAAAGAATGAAGTTGGTCCATCTTCTACCTCACACCAGATATGAAAACTTAAAATAGACCAGAGACCTAAACGTAAGAGCTAAAACTCTGAAACCCTTGGAAGGAAACACGGGGGTAAATCTTAATAACCTTGGATCTGCCAATAGTTTCTTAAATTTAACACCAAAAGCACAAGCAACCAAAGAAAAAAATGGATCCATATGGACTTCACCAGAATTAAAACTGTGCTTCAAAGGCACTATCAGAAAATGAAAAGACAACCCACTGAATGGCAGAAAACATTTGCAAATTACACATCTGCTAAGGGACCTGTACCTAGAGTGTACAAACAACTTTTATAACTCAGTAACAAGATAAATAACTCCATTAAAGAATGGACAGAGGGGACGCCTAGGTGGCTCAGTCGGTTAAGCGTCCAACTTTGGCTCAGGTCATGATCTCATGGTCCATGAGTTCGAGCCCCGCGTTGGGCTGTGCACTGACCGCTCAGAGCCTGGACCCTGCTTTGGATTCTGTGTCTCCCTCTCTCTGCCTCTCCCCTGCTTGTGCTCTTTCTCTCTCGCTCTCAAAAATAAATAAACATTAAAAAAAATTAAAAAATAAAAGAAATCCTCATAAAAAAAAAAAAAAAGAATGGACAAAAGATCTGAATAGACATTTTCCCAAAGATCTACAAGTGGGCAATAAGCACATGAGAAGATGCTCGTCATTTGGCATCAAGGGAATGTAAATCAAAACCATGACATATCACTTTATACCCACTAGGATGGCCAAAACATAAAAAGACAGTAAGACAGTAACGTGTGTTGACAGAACTATGGAGAAACTAGAACCTTTATACACCGTTGATGGAAAATGTAAAATGGTACACCCATTCTGAAAATCAGTATGGTAGCTACTCAAAGGTTAAATATATTGCAATTCCACTCCTAGATATATACTTAAGAATTAAAAACCACACAAAAACCTGTACACAAACGTTCACAGCAGCACTGTATTCATGATAGACAGTAGGTGGAAACCAAATGCCTTTTAACTGATGAATGAATAAACAAAATGTGGTATATCCATTCAGTGGAATGTATTATTTGGCAACAAAAAGCAATGAAATACTGAGAGATGTTAGAGCATGGATGAACCTTGAAGACATCAGGCTAAGTGAAAGCCAGTCACGAAAGGTCACATAGCTTGATTCCTTTATTATGAACATATAGAATAGGCAAATCCATATATAAAGTAGATTAGGGTTTGCTTATGGCTGGGGGGGGGGGTGGGCATTGGGAGGATTGGGGGCCACTGGCTAAAGGGTCTTGGGTTTTTTGTGGCAGTAATGTACAACTGGTTGTGGTGATGGTTATATAACTCTGAATATACTAAGAACCGCTGAATTGTATCCTTTAAAACTGGTGAACTTGCATGGTATGTGAATATCTCAATAAAACTTACAAAAATAATCAGGAACGTGAAGCATATGTAATTACTTTTTCTAAGAAGTCTCATGTTTTAGCTATTACACTATCATTAAAGCAAAACTTATTCAAAATCAGTACATGCTCTGTCCATTCAGCATGGAAGTTTCTCCCAGACAACCGTGCCTGTTCTTCAGTGAATGGAACAAAGTGGGCTTTAACATGCTGATGCATGTTCCTCTTCTTCCATGGGCTTTTCAGACTGTCCCTTTCCTCAGATCAAAGGGAAGAACTAGAAGTATACTGTTGCAGATGGATGAACACAACTGCGGAACCTCTCTAGCTCTGCCTCAGGCTTGATCTGGAATAACCTTTCACCCGATATTCAAATGAAGAACTAGAACACTAACTCCTTACCTGTTTATAAACTCTTCCTTGGCTTACCCACCGCTTTTGAGCAAACCTCCAGAATCCCCTCACAGGCTCTAAGGCCGTGTGATGGCTCTTGCTAACTTCCTGCATCAGGGCCCTACTCCTGCTGTCCCCGGTTTCCAGTGCCTTTCCTGCCACACAGAAGGTGCTATCTGTTGAATAAACCAGTATATATTTTTTATTCCCCAGGTGGAACACATTTTCAAATAGATCTTAAATATACTCTGGCCACATCGGGCAAGGCTTAACTGCAAAACTGTGGACGAACCGCGAGTCTGTCATCTTCTGATACATTTCACAAGACTGTTCATGGGCATGTGCATTTTTCTGGAGAAGGCATCCATAATGTCCGTTAGATTTCCAAAAACATCTATCACACAACACAAGGAAAGGATCTGAGTTAAGGGAATAATGAGGCTCATAGAAAAAGGGAGACAAAAGTAAAGTGAGAGGCTAAAACAGGAATGGTACTATAAAAGGTAAACCGTCCTTGTCTCACTCTTGATGGTCCTAAGTACTAAGGAGATCAGGCATCTATACCTAAAACAAAAACTAGCTGATCATCTGCCCATTTCCGCATGCCTGTGGTGAGCTTTAGAAAAACACACACTACCTTCTATAGTAGTGGCTCATGTTGACAGGGATCTTCAATAGAAGGTTGGGCTCTCTGAGGCTTTTAAAAACTACATCTGCTAGCCCCCTCACTCCAAGACCTGATGTGCCTTCTGCAATACCAGGGGACTGCTGGGTATGCATGTGAGGTTGAGAATCAGTAACCTATATAATGTTCTCAAAAGAATCCATCTAAAATCCCAGTCATGCTTTGGCAAATTGCAACTGTTTAAAGAATGCGAAATGTCCAAATGGCAGTGTATCTACATAAACCAATAAAACGTCTGTTAGTGACCATTTAATTTTATTTATTTATTTTTTAAAAGAAAACCCAACTTACAAATTAGTATGCATGTGTATTTGTTTACACAAACATTCAATCATTCATTCCCCCATCTCAAATTCAGCCTTCTACAGGACAAAGTTTCTGGGGCTCCAAGATGACTGTGTTAGACTCGGTGCTCCACGGAGCCCCTGCGTCTTGATACTGGCTGTCTGGTGTGGCTGCGTGCCACAAGAAGCAGGGTCCATTTCACAGCATCACGGCCAAGAGCAGCTTCTGTTTCTTCTCCAGGTGCACAACGCAGATGCCATTTCCACTGCAGCCCAAGTTCACGTATCTAGGTGCTTATAGAGTCTACGAGTTTTCTCTTTTTTATTTCTGTTGCCATGTTTTTTCCAGGCCTTCCCAGCCCTGCTCTCAGAGCTCACAGCAGCTGTAGTCACCAGGCCACTCCCTGGCTTGTAGCCCATCACAGCCTGGACTCCTTTGGTCAAAGCTCTCACGTTTTCCTAGGAAGTGAAGACAGCAGTATGGGAGATGTAAGCACAGTATTATTTATGGAGAACTCCAAGACAGAGGACTTCCACCCCCTTCACTGCTCCTCTCTCTCCCCATTCTTAAGTAAGTTTCTCCGCATTCTGTCTTGAGTGCATTCTCTTTGTCCTTCACTTTGCGTAGTCCCATCGCTTCAAATACCATCTGTAACTAGCCACTGAGCAAGCACTCCCTTTGCCTTCCTCATCTACCACATACAGCCAGCCAATAAGTTCTGTGGGCTCCAGGCTCTAGCATTTGGTGTACCTATCCACTGTTCTCCACCACCCTGTTCTAGTCCCGGTATTCATTAGCTTTCACTGGAACACTGCAACACTCCCCACTTCTACTAGAGTTTAACAATCACGTATCTCTCTTTCCTCACAAACCTCTGATGGCTCCCTGTAGCCTGGGGAACCAAGTTCATATTCCCTCAGCAGGTACACAAGACCACTTACAACATGGGCTCCTTATTGATAGAATCCACACTCCCATCTTTTTATGCCTTTGTTCACGCTACTCCCTCTCTGCCTGGAGAATCGCCCTCACCACTCCTTCCAACCAGTACATTTATATTTGCCCTTAGAGTCCAGCTTAGATATCACCTCCTGTCTGTGGCGTTAACTCACCTACTCTCCCCCCGGCCCCAAGGGGGAACTGCTCCCCAATCTGGGTTCACAAAGTACCTGACTTATACTTCTGCCCTAGACCTAACGTGTCACGTTACTTGTTAACTTGCCCATCTCCCCTTAGCTAGAATGTGATCTCCCTGAAAACAGTAATTATGTTTTCTTCCTTTTGATATCCTAGGTCCTAGTGTAGTATCCACATGTAATAGTGCTCAAAAAAGTTTCTGTAAACTTGTGATTTTATTTAAGTAAAGCAAAATGAAACAAAAAACTGAACAATTAAGCTTACTTAGTAAAAATAAAATTAATCCCATATGATTCTGCAAGTGCAAAGCAGTATTTCATGATTGTCTTAATAGTAGTAGGTCCAAGGAAGAACCTATGATCTTTCTGCCTATCAGTATATTTCCTCCTAAATACTGGCAGACTTGGAAATAATTCAAACCAGGAGCCACAATAATCAAGTTCTAGCCCAGCCTTGCCATTTAAGACAAGTATCCTTGAATAAGTCACTTTGCCTCCTTAAGCCTCAATGGCCCCAGTGGTGGATAGCACTATCTGCTTGGCCTGTGTGAGGCACACAAATAAAGCATCATATAAATACAGAAAGAAATTACTCTGGATACAGATGACACCCCCTCCCCCTACCACCCTTTTATGGCTGTAGTAGTCACAAAAGGATTTAAAAAATATATTAAGTACAGTTATAGGATTTAACTGTTCTGCATATAACTTTTCTTTATTTTCTTATGTTACAAAATCTTTTTTAAATGTTTATTTTTGGGAGGGAGAGATAGAGAGTGCATGTGAGTGGGGGAGGGGCAGACAGTGAGGGAGACAGAGGATCCGAAGCAGGCTGCTCGCGGACAGCAGAGAGCTCGATGTAGGGCTTGAACTCATGAACCGTGAGATCATGACCTGAGCCGAAGGTGGACAATTAAATGACCAAGCCACCCAGGTGCTCCTAAATTCGTTGTTTAAAGTGCAGCATATAAACTGTAGCTGTGATATAAACAATGAAAGTTACTAAAATGTACTGGCTCAGAAAGACCACTAAACAGTAGAAAATATTTGCAAATTATAAATATGATAAAGGTTTTTATCAGAATTTATAAAGAACTCTTACAACTCAACAATAGGTAATTCTCCAAAGAAGATCTACATGTGCCAATGAGCACACAAGATTACCAACATCCTTAGGGAAATCAAAATCAAAATCATGAGATACCACTTCATATAGTAGGATGACTAAAGTAAAAAAAGACGGAAAATAAACACCAGTAAGGATATAAGGAAATTAGAGCCCTCATACCCTGACGGTGGGAATGTAAAATGGCACAGACACTTTCCAAAGTCTGGCAGTACCTCAAATGTTAAACATGTGGTTAACACATGACCTGGCAAATCCCACCCCTAATTATATGCCCAAGAGAACTGAAAATCTATGTTCACACAAAAGCTTGTGCATGAATGTTCATAGCATTATTTATAATAGAAAAGGGGGGGTGCTCGGGTGGCTCAGTCGGTCAAGCATCTGACTTCAGGTCACGATCTCATGGTTCATGAGTTAGAGCCCTACGTCGGGCTCTGTGCCGAGAGCTCAGAGCCTGGGACCTGCTTCAGATTCTAGGTCTCCCCCTCTCTCTCTGCCTCTCCCTGGCTCACGCTCTGTCTCTGTCTCTCTCTCAAAAATGAATACACATTAAAAAAAAAAATCATTTATCTTATAATAGAAAGGGGAAACAACCCAAATTCCATCTATGAGAAATAAACAAAATGTGACATATCCACTCAATGAAATATTATTTGGCAATAAAAAGGAATAAAGTACTGATAAATGGATGAACCTTGAAGTCATTATGCCAAGTTAAAGAAGCCAGTCAGAAAAGACTACATCGTGGGTGATTTCATCTATATGAAATGTTCAGAATAGGCAAATCTATATAGGAGAAAGCTGATCAGTAGTTGGAAAAGGCTGGGGAGAGTGGGGAACGGTGAGTGACTGATAATGGGTACAACGTTTCTTTCTGGAGCGATGAAAACGTTCTGAAATTATGGTGATGGCTACACAACTCTGAATATACTATAAACTACTGAACTATACTTGCAAAGGGTGGCTTTTACACTATGTGAATGGTTATTTCAATAGAACTGCTATATAATATATGCTGACCAGAAGTTAAAGAAAAACTTTAAAACTTACTTGATGGAAAAAACTTTTGTCAACTACATTTTCAATCTGTTTTGCTTTTTTATTTCCGCCTGGATGTATTTTTAGTTCACCACCATTCGTTTTGTTCTCTAGGAGTCGCTGGTGTTGATGCTGAAAGGTCACAGGGTCTCTTCCAGGAGGAGGATGACAGTACAGAAGTTTACCCTACGAAGACAAGAAGCGTTAACAACACATCATGTGTTGTCTGTGTTCTCCCAGAAGAAAGAAAAACCCTCAAAGACATCTCCGCCAAGCACCCTCTGACCAGCTTCCTTTTTTCAATTAAAAAAAAAAAAAAAGTTTATTTATTTAGAGAGAGTAAGAGTGTGAACAGAGGAGGGACACACAGAGAGACACAGAATCCAAAGCAGGCTCTGAGCTGTCAGCAGAGCCTGACGCGGGGCTCAAACCCACGAACCGTGAGATCACAAACTGAGCCGAAGTTGGACGCTTAACCAACAGAGCCACCGAGGTGCCCCTTCCTGCTTTTCGATTAACCAAGCTGACTTCTGGTCACCTGCAAATGGAGAGTCCTAATGAATACACTGACTTACCTTTAAAGTGTTCTGAAGGCCTAGCCTGCCCACAGCCCACAGACCAGGAGGAAATCTTTCTCCTCTGTGCTCCTTTTTACCTTGTTTGCATTTCTACTCGTGTTCTTCGGTGCACTTATGTAACTATACTTAGGCTAAGCGTTTTCCAAAATGAAAATCAGGACACAACTGCACATCAGGATTATACTAATGCAGATGTTGGGCGGTCGCTCACTGGATGCAAATTTCCTGCTTCCCACCATAAACACTCTATAAACTGTGGTTTGTAACTCATCTTCTACAGTTTTATAAATGGCAAATGAATAAATAATTTATCCATACAAATACTCTACTGATTCACTACTTTCTTCCTGAACTGAAGGCAAGAGAGTATGGATGTTCAATTTTACTCCTATGCTTCCAAGAGCTCTGCTGATGTGGCATTCAGAAGAGGGAATCCTCACAACCAGTTATTATGGGAGACGCAAGATGCTTGTTTGCAGAAAGAATTAAGCTTAATACATAACAAGTACTGGGGGCTAATTATGCACCAGGCACTGAGCTTAGTGGTGTGTGTGTCTCCACACACATGTTATTCTCATTTACTTCCCATAATAATCTCCTGAGACAGTTACTCTTCATTCCTATTTTACTGATGAGGAAAACCCAAAACTTAGCACGTCCTCATCTGTGATGTGGACAGACTCGTTATGTATCTTTAATGAGACGACGCACCGAAAACAGCACTATTCTCGACAGGGCTGTGAGTACCGTTACCGGGCGAGCGCAGGGAGAACGACATACGGACGCTCCGCTCCCAGGAGGACTGTGACACAGCTGCAAGAGGAGCTGCAGGCGATGGCAAAGCCAGAGGCACGCATTTATCACTTTCGCTGACAACGTGCAGAGAGCTTTCTCTCGTAATTGTGCTGTTGGTTCCATCTCTGGCTCACATGACACCAACTCCCCCGGATCAAGAAAGCCACGCCGAGGCTGCGGATCTCCTCCCGCAGAAGACCCGCGCCAACCTTGCCAACACTGGATCTTGCCAATTACAATACACCCTCAACGAGAAAATCCCTCCTTTGTGACGCAACAGGTTGCTGGCGTCTAGGCGCCGTGAGAGAGGAGGCCTGCTCACTCAAGAGCATCGAGGAGCTGGGCTCACTTACACTGACGTAGTCCTTCAGGATATAGCGAGCAGACCGAGGCTGGTCTGGCTGCCCGTGCGCAGTCATGAATCCTCGCATATCTGTGAGGAGAGATGGGTTGTGCAAAACTGAAGTTAGAAGACGGCAAATCACAACGAAGACAACTGAGGTGAAGGAAGTTTAGTCCATTACCACGCCAACTACGCATCCTTACTCTCTAGCTTTAAAAAGCAACTGTCATGGTAGAAGACATCCTGGTAGCATTATAAAGACATCCGACAATCTGGGTGAACAGACCACACTGTTCTGATAGCCTAGCACCAAGGGCTGACACACACATTCAATCTCTCTCCACTCCAGTTATTTCTTTCATCTCTTGATTTTAAACATTTACATACGGAGGCCACCTGTAGAATGCTATGCCGTCACTACAATTAGCAAAACCAAAAGCAATATAGTAAGTCTTCTTGTTTAATAACGTATCTATGCGTTTTCCCAATTTCCCAAACATACAACAAAGATCCCTCTAATAGTAACTCAACTAGAGGGGGTAGCAGAGCCTAGTGGTTAAGAATATGGCCTTTGGCAGACGGGTTGGGTTAAAAATAGCTCCTTCACTTAGTAGCTGTGTATTGGCTCTTTCAGTTCAGAAGAAAATAGTTAGAACCTTAGATCGCACAATACATAAAAAAACACGTAGGCAGATTAAAAATCTAAAGGTACATAAAAAAAAGACATTACAGGAAAATAGTTTTATCCTTTTAAGATAGCGAAGGCCCTCCCAAGTAAAACACCAAACACCATCAAGCCAAAAAGGAAAAAGTCTGTTAAAATTGTTAACATATATAGGGCTAAAGACACCACAAAGAAGTCCTACAAATCCTTAAAAGAACAAAAGATGCATAGAAAAAGGTGATTCCCAGAAGAAACAGAAATGGCCAGCATATGCACAGATGTTCCATTTCATTAGTAAAGATACGCAAATTAAAGTTATTTAGCAATGTCTTATGAACCATCAGAGACTATTCTTAAAAAAAAAAATTTTTTTTAATGTTTATTTACTTTTGAGAGAGACAGAGACAGAAAGTGAGTGGGTTAGGGGCAGAGGGAGGTGGAGACACAGAATCGGAAGCAGGCTCCAGGCTCCAAGCTGTCAGCATAGACCCTGACATGGGGCTCAAACTCACGAGCTGTGAGATCATGACCTGAGCCGAAGTTGGACGCTCAACCGACTGAGCCACCCAGGTGCCCCTATCAGAGACTATTCTTTACAGACCTGCAAAATGATCTTAGAAACTATACGTATGTGGTCATCCATCTTTACAAACTGGCTTTTTCCTTACTCTGATTTTATCAGCATTAGGTGAAAAATCTTAAAAAACGATTACTTTTAGTTTTATCTGGAAGTCCAATCAAATGGAAAGTCTGGTGGAAGCCCACTACTGGAGAGAGGTCTGGAATATGAAACTCAGGCTATGCGCCACTGATCAGACACCACACCACTGTAGGCAAGTCATTTCATGCTCTGATTTCAGATTACTCGTCTTAAAAAAAAAAAAGAGGTGAGAGGCGGAGTGATCTTTAAGGTCTCTTACGTGGTTTTGTGACTACACCGGTCTCATCACAAATGCTTAATATTTATCCTCTTTAAAGTCTCTCAACTAAGCTAAGTTCAAGTTAATGTCAAACAAGGTTTCCAAGGGACTGATGGAAGGGGAGGGAGGCTGTTTTGTGTCCCTACCCTGACCACATTCAGCAACGTCCCAATCTGAGGGCTTTCCCTTCCAATGCTGCCCTCACAACTCTCCTACCTGCTCTGACAGCATATTCATTTTCTTCCCAACATCCCTTTTCTTTCCTGTTTGGGAGAAGACTCCAGAAAAAGCCAGCACAGCCTCAATCTGAATCGTGTCTACACCTGGTTATCTTCTAAACAGTGAATGCCCTCAGGGCCTTTTCTTAGAGGCATGTGACAACTGCTGGCTCTTGCTGGTGCTCTCTGTGGGAGCTTTCAACAGTCTGCATCTAGGCGTTCAACAGGGAGGGGCCTGACTGCTATAGTGAAAGCAAAGGGCAGACCTGAGGAGAGGCAAGGGATTCAAAGCATCTCCTCCTCTAACTCCAGAAAGCACTTACCACACTGAAGTAAAATGCTACTCACGGAGCAGTCAGCTCCCCTCCCTTACTGCTGCTCTCTGAACCCACCACCAAAGCAGCTACCTGGAGACCAGGTAGCTGGAGGCAAGGCCAACAGAGACAACGAAGGCACAAACCTTGGAAGATGACATGACAAATACTAAGGAAAAATGTAAATTTCTATCTCTGCAGGAGTAGTTGCTCTCATTAACCATGTTGTTACTTTTTGTCCATTTAATTGTTCATGCTTTAAAATAAATCACAACTCACATCCGTAAGCTGTCAACAGTTCTTCTGATGTCGGAGGTCGATGGGGATCTTCATCCTCTCTAGGCTTTATGATATTAATGCCATAGGTAGCTTCTAAAACATATCTCGGAATATTCTGGCAAACATAAGCTTGTCAAGGAATCCATTACCTTGAACTGACCCCTCCCCACCACGGCTTCTGACACATGCCTCTAATTCTGAGACCATGGTACTTTAGCACTCCTATGACCGAAGCCTTTTTATGTCTCCAAAAAAGAAGTACAGTTATTCATGAATTTTCAAATGCTTTCTCTTTAAATCCCATTCTACCTTGTACCGGCTATTCATGCACATGCCACATATGCCCCCGAGACCGAATCCAGAAAGGGCAGGATCCATGGCTGATTCATGCTCATAGCTTCCAAAGAACCCAACCTTATCTGGCTTGTAATGAATGCTCAATACACATCCGATTATTAATTCAAACAGAAACGGAAAATATACAGAAAAGCATAAATAATGTAACAACTGTGTTCCCAACTATCAAGAAGTGGTAACAATTTCGTCTATTAAAAATTGTATTACAGGGGCCCCTGGGTGGCTCAGTCAGTTAAGCGTCCGACTTTGGCTCAGGTCATGATCTCAGTCTGTGAGTTCGAGCCCCACGTTGGGCTCTGTGCTAACAGCTCAGAACCTGGAGCCTGTTTCAGATTCTGTGTCTCCCTCTCTCTCTGACCCTCCCCCATTCATGCTCTGTCTCTGTCTCAAAAATAAATAAATGTTAAAATTTTTTTTTTAAAAATTGTATTACAAATGCAAACCTCCACCGGTCTGCTTCTCCTACTTTTACACTCACATGTATCTATTAATGCAAAGTACTGTTCTGTGAGGTGACAATTTTTACAGAAATGGGTGTCACACCGTATATGTGATCTTTTGAGATCTACCTAGGTTACCACAGGCAGACTTAGTGCAGTATTTTTAACAACCATATACTATTCTGTTTTAGCGATATACTGTATTTTATCAATCCTGGCAGATGAATTCTTTCTCATTATTTCTTACAGGAAGAGAAATCAAATTGGGGTAAATAAAATGCGGTGGCCTTCAGGGCAGTCATGAAGAATCTTGTCAAGAACTGTACAGGGCCAGAAACTTCACGCTACTTATAAATTAACAAATTGGCATGTCAGTTTCACGGAGTCTCCTTCCTATCTTCCTCCAGCATCCACGGAACAGTAACAGACTAACCTGTTGGCTTGTAAGTAGGGTAAGATCTTAAGACACTGTGGTTCTTAACAATATTTTTTTCATGTCACACACTATCCTAGGTGCTTCACATAAGTTAACTCATTATGCTGGGAAGCAGCAGAGTTCCTTTTTTTTTTGGTAGGCCTATTTGCATACTTTAAAAGCATGCTGGGATTTTGATTGGGATTGCATTGCATTGCACTGATGTATCAATTTGAGAAGAATTGACATTTTAAGAGTATGAAGTCTTTCAAACCATAAACACGTATATATCTCTTCATTCAGGTCTTATCAACCGTGAGAGCTGTTATTACTGGCACTTTTCAGAAAAGAGAGTTTCTGGAAGGTTAAGCAAGCTTATCACACAAATAGTCAAATGGCAGTGTCAGGATTCAGGTTTGCAACTCGGGGCTGAGATCCAAGACTGGGCTCTTCCACTGATTCCAGGCGACACAGCTGCACTCAGGACATGAGGTTCTGCAATCCTGATGCTACCTCATATAAACTTGGGCAAGTTACTGTTAAGTGTTTCAGGTTTTTCAATACATCCAATGCAAAGCCAAGTCCAAAACAAACTTGAAGCCCTAGTGTACACGTAACAACCAGTCTTTGTAAAGCAGAAAGGATATTAGTGACACAGGGGGAACGTGGTCTCTCATTTGGTCAATAGGGAGGATTCCATTGCAAGTCATTTCTGCCTTGGTAGAGACGAAGGACGGCATCACCAGGCCCGGGCAGTCACATAAGCAGAGGCCAGGTTCCACATAGAGAGTCTGAAAGACAAGTGAGAGGTTTACGCTGGGCACACAGCAGAGGAAGGGAAAAGACCACCATGCGAGTGGTGAAGAACTCAGAAAACCCAGCCGGAGGAACTGGCTAAGGAGGAAAACAGGCTGATGCTGCAGAAATACCTGAAAATGCTTGGTGTGACCAGGTGTGGCAGACACAGACACTTTCTTGTTGCCCATGATGGTGTTGATTGTGGAACTCTTACCAACATTCGGGTAGCCCACCTGCAAGAGACACCTAAGTTACTAGCGTCTGACAGTATGTGTATCAAACCCAAAGATAATACATAAATAGTGCAACTCCAGCGTGTCTGGTTGCTTCAAAAGATTATTTGAAATAGGTGCTGTTTGTGGACAATTTGTTCCTCTGCAGTGTGGATGTATTTATTCAGACAGGTCTCCAGTGATGCACAGTCAAGCTAAGTACATTTTATTTGTAGAGGTCTTGCTGTAACAGCAGATATTACAGTAAACCTCAGCCCCTTGTTCTCAGCTCTACCCACGATGTCCCATCTTACAGGCATTTCAGTTTCTGTTGTATTTTCCACACTGTGGGTGAAGTCAAGCATCAGATAGGTATTTTAATCATCACAACATACAACCACTTTTAATTTTTAGTAACTTACCAGCAAGCTTCTATTTTATTGGTTAACAATGGTAAATGGCACATGGACTTGCTGTGGGTTAACAAGCTATTAAAACTCTTCAGTGAGTCTTAGCAGGATCATATAAAGATTCTCAAATAAATGCTCAAATCATGCCAGTCTTGCTCCAGGCTTTTTCTTAGGTTTTTTTCCCTGTACCTCTAAATCCAATTCCTTCTTACTTGGTTCAAACTATCCTCTGTCAGCATGACTGGAAGATTACAAATACTGATCCCATGGAACATAAAACTCCAAACCTTCCACCCCCAGTACAGGCCTCGTAACACATCACTTCCATTGCTCAGCTTCGCTCTTGCCCCTCTCCATGCTTAGCCATACTGCCACCTGCTGGTCCATGGACATACTTCCATTCCTGGGGCTTGGTTTAAACCTTTACCTTGTTTGTCTGAAGGCCCTTCCTTCCATTGTCACATTGTACTTTAAGGTGCAACCTCTTACATAAATATGTCAGACAACTGCTCATTAATTTCAATATTCTCATGTTTTGTGTTTATTTATATCTTGATTACATAACATGTTACCATTTGTTTACATGTCCTTTGTTGGGGGCAGGGGACTTCTGTTGCTGTCATCTCCCCCACCTCCTGCAGACCAGGCTCCTCATTATACAACTCCTATATGGCGCTGGATGTCCTCTCTACCACTCCCTACACTTGGAATTAGAAGTTCTGGGAGGGTGGAGATACACTGACTGTCATGGCCCAGCAGGACGCCTGGCATGTGGCCAGTGATCAATAAATGTTCACGGAATGAGTAAATTAACCTATTTTCAAGATTTCTAGAGGAAGACATTCAGAAAGTGGCGAGGCTGCTTAGCATGTCCGTAAATGTGAGAAATAAACTAGCTTTTAGGGAAGCTGGGCTTTCTGGTGGCATATAGAAAATGAATTTTTAGCAATAATATATAGAAGTGGAGTTGTAAAGCTAAGAGAAATTAGCTACATTTCCCAAAATTTATAGCAAGTAAATCTGTTCCACTGTAGAACTGGGAATTACACTAGGTCTGCCTGGCTCCAGGGACAATTCCTTTAACTAGTGTTCTAAAATAAAATGTCAATCTGCTATAATCATTTTAAGTACGCTTTGGGAGGGGGACAGTGCTTCAAAGCAATTAGGATTGCTCTACTCGGCACGTAACTTAAAAGCTAGAAGATTTTAAGGCTGCCATGATCTACTTTCTTTCACTGTTTTGTTTTCTTGCTTGGATGGAAGATCTATAAGATACCTTCTCTAACATCTTACACTTCCTTAGCTAAAGATGGGGCCGTCTGGAGCTCTGCTGTACACCCCTGAGGTTTGGGTACTTCTCACAGCCACCTCTAGAATTAGTGTATATGTAGCTAGGGACGTGATCTCCTTTCCCGTTTTTTGTTTATTTTTGAGAGAGTGTGCACACATGTGCACTAGCGGGAAAGGGGCAGAGAGAGGGGGACAGAGGATCCGAAGCAGGCTCCACACTGTAAGCCATGAGCCAGATATGGGGCTGGAACTCACGAACTGTGAGATCATGACCTGAGCCGAAGTCGGAGGATCAACCAACTGAGCCACCCAGTCGCCCCTCCTTTCCCCTATTCTTATGCAACCAAAGCACCAATCTTGTTGTACCTGGCCCAAAGATGTTGGGATTCTCCCTAGAATGCATCTGGAACATTTACAGTACAAATTCGTAAGGATCACATGATACCATAAGCCTCCAGAAGGTAAGAATATTGACCTGGAAGAGTGAAAATGGTCTTAAAAGTGCTCTCTTCCAAGTACTTCTTGGGAAGTCACATGACTGGTAGCGCTGAACTGGAAGGAGGTGGGAGAAGATAATTACTATGAAAAGAGGTATAGCCAATGTAAGCCTTGAAAGAGTACACTTTTGACTTTTCCTGTCACACTGCCTACTCCCACAATGCCAGTGGGCAACAAGAGGGCAATAACGTTCCCAATGATGCCAGAAGCCTGGTTAATAGTCCCTTGGATTCCAGTGTAGCTACCAATGGACTGGATATAAAGATACCCATGTGGTAACAATCTCAGGACCTATTTCACCTTACCAGTCCAACGGTAAGCTGTCCGTCTTTCACTTTCTTCCCAGTGTGTAGCTGCTTAAAGATCTCCAATAACTCCTGCCTTGATACCAGGTGGCTGAAATTGCATGTGTGCCTCTTCTCCAGGGTGTTCCTGCCCTGAGCCTCAGAATCCACAGTACAGCTTTCCTTCCTGTCCCAGCCACAGGGCTCTTCGTCAGGGTTGCTGTCCTCTTCCGAACACGTCTGCCAAACTTCCTCCTCCTCCTCCTGACAGTCCTCGTACTCACTGTTGTCTTCATCGCTACTGGCAACTTCACCAAGTGGCGGGGATCCCCCGTCCAGGAGCTGTTCGGTCTCACTGTGAGGATTTTCAGCTTCATCACAACTGGAGTTTTCAGACTCGGTTGTGTTGGCTTCTCCAGCACCCTCGTTCACATGTTCCTGATGAAATAACAGAAACCGCAAAAGTTCAGAAGGGTAGAACAATGGCATCTTTCATTCTAATGAAAGTATTCAGAGTTGGTTATTGAAGAACAGAGGACTAGAAAAGCCATGAAGGAGACCAGAAAAAGTGAAAACAGGGAGATAATGTAAGTCTTTCAGTGCAAGGACACAACCAAACTATCAACAGTGGTGCCCTCTGGGGACGGGAGGAACAGTGGACTGTCACTTTATGCGTTCCTGTATTATTTGAACTCTGTACAAACAACATGCGTTACTTCTGTAATAGATACATCTTTAAAGAAAGCAAGAGCTTAGAAAAGCCCATGTCAAGCTGAATTCTTTGTCAGTATGCCATTTTACAACGGCCTATAGAATAAAGCATTTCTCGTTAACAATAAAACATTTAACATTCTCTTCTCTGCACAAAGCAAGAAGGGCAGAATTTATAATTTGAGTTTTTTACATTTGCATTTTTAAAGACTCTGGTTTGCATATTTAAGGAAACTGCTATTCCTTTATAATTCCCTCTAATAAATCAAAGTGCTGTGCAGCACAGCTCCCTCAGGATGAAATAAACAAAACTCAACTCCACATGCGAAAATTATTCACATATGCAAAAAAGAAAAAAAAGATAAAAATCATTTACTCTTTAGGGATGTGTAAATTCTTCTGAATTCCTACTGATATTAAAGCAAAACTAAGACAATTTATGGTATTACTATATTGATTTGTATCAACAAGAGTGAATTGGTCTGGATTTAGAAGTGATGCAAACCTGGTATCATTTCTAAATTACCTAATGTTAGAATGGGTAATTGTCACAGAAGAGGACACAGGGAGTTAAACAGGTATCCTAAATTTTAGGAAAGTAGTGACATAAACCATCACAGAAAATAGGCATGATTTCACAGTCAAGCCTGGTGAGTCAAAAAGAAACAGCATGAGGGTGCCTATGTGGCTCAGTTGGTTAAGCATTCAACTCTATGATCTCATGATTCGTGGGTTTGAGCTCCACGTTGGGCTCTGTGCTGACAGTGCAGGGCCTGCTTGGGATTCTCTCTCTCTCTCTCTCTCTCTCTCTCGCTCTTTGGCCCTCCCCTGCTCATGTTCTCTCTCTCTCAAAAAAAGAAAAAACTTAAAAAAAAAAAAAAAAACAACCCACAACAAAACAGTATGGCTTCTAACAGAACTACACTACTGGGAGCAATTTCTATGAGAAATGAACAATGAGTGTAAAGAAGATGGTGTGTCTTCACCGTGAACTCTTCTGGATCATTTCAAAATATGAAAGAAACAGGTAACAATAATGTGAACCAGGGGCACCTCGATGGCTCAGCTGGTTTGTGGGTTTGTATATGGGGCTCTGCGATGACAGTGCAGAGCCTGCTTGGGAATTTCTCTCTCTGCCCCGCCCAATGCACGTGCACTCTCTCTCTCTCAAAATAAATAAATAAAGACTTTTAAAAAAGACCCCACCTAAAACTAGAAGCAGTTTAGGTTCAGGAAAAATGAGAAGGACAACAGAAGGACTTCGTGGCAGTTACCAGTAAAATAAAAATAAGGGGAAAGCCAATTTCTTAGGAAAACAGTGCAATTTAACAGTTGGCCAAGAAAAAACTAAGGTACTCGGCTTGAAAACTGTCATGCTCTTTCAAATAAGAAGGGGTTAAACAACTGTAAAGGAAGAACCAAGCTTCAGATAGGCGAGTACAGTGATTATCAAACTATTTCTAGTAAGTTCATGTTTGATACTCAAATGACAGATGTGATTATTGATACATCACAACAGTAGTTAGTTATTGGTCTTGGGAAATCATGAAAAACATCAGAGACTTCAGAAGACTTGGGAGGAGTAAATGATGGCTAACTTAAGAAGGAAGAAAGAATATCTTCCATAACCACACACTGTTAACTCGGAGTTGGATATGGGAGTAAGTCCACAAGGCAGCTGGTGAGCCCTAAAAAGACAGTCATCAACAGGAGGCAACAAGGGTTTCCTGAGAACAGATTATGTAAAAAAGTGGAACGTACTACTTGGTAACAGTTCAGGGAAGACTACAGATGTAGAAACTAATCCTTTTCTCATTTTTGATAATTTAAAAATACAACAACAAAAACCTTCAGTAAGATGCTGGCTTCCAGGAAAGAGGGGAAACAGAAATAATGGTTAAGAGGACAAACTAGGAAGCCAGACTACCTGAGGATAATAAGCACTTACATTTACTGTTGAGAAGATTAAATGAATAAAATATACAAAGTGCTTAGAACAGTGGTGCCTGGCACAGAATAAACTTTTTATGGGTTAGTTTTTATTAACAATAGTAACAACAGAATGGTCCTTACTGTTCTATCCTTGCAAACACATCTGTATTCATCACGTCAGAATGCTTATTAGTACCAAGTGCTTAGTAAGTTCACAAAAGGTTACAGAGCTCTCCCCTTGGTTCTGACCTGTTTAACATCAATGACTGGAAAGAATATACAGAAGCACAAACACACAACATCTGCAGATTCAAAGCTAGAAGGAGAGAAAAGCAAATTGCACAACCAAAATGAATTCTCTACCTTAGCCCCAAACACTAACAATATTTCAGAGGAACAATACTGTCCTAAGTTGAGCCTGAGTGGCTCACTTGGTTGAACATCTGAATTAAGCTCAGGTCATGATCTCATGGTTTGTGAGTTCGAGCCCCTCACTGGGCTTGCTGCTGTCAGTGTAGGGCCCAATTTGGATCCTCTGTCTGCCCCCTCTCTCTGCCCCTCCCTCACTTGCGCTCTCTTGTGCGTGTGCTCGTGCACGCTCTCTCTCTCAAAAACAAACAAAAACCAACCACAAACACAAACACTTTTTCCATATGTAAATATGGGGCGAGATTTGCATTAAGTCTTCTCATTTTTAAAAGATATTTGAGGGATTTGGTTGTTCACAGGTTAAATTAGCCAAGACCATAATATAGCTCCTTTGAAATGGGGTGAATTAACAAAAACTCTGAATTACTAGGAGTATCCTGATTACAAGAAGTTAATAGTCTCTCTGTATACATCCTGGGCAAACCATATCTAGAATAACATATTCAATTAGGTGCCACCAATTTTAATGTTATCCTGACACGGCAAACAGGCACTTGAGATGAAGAGTGCCCCAGATATTGTGTCCATAATGAATAGAAAGGCAGAAAATACATACAGTTTGCAGAAGAGAGAACTAAGGGGACAAAGGAAGAGTCCTTAGATCAAGGGTTAGGGAGGCCAACTTAGCTTCACTAAACTGAAAAACTTTCTTTAACATTTTTTTTTTTTTTTTGAGAGAGATAGTGTGTGTGCATGCGCGAGCAAGCGGGGTGTGGGGGTGGATGAGGGAGTGGGGGAGGGGAGAGAGGCAGGAGAGACAGAATCTTAAGCAGGCTCCACTCTCAGCATGGAGATCAACAGGGGGCTAGACCCATGACCCTGGGATCATGACCTGAGCTGAAATCAAGAGCTTGACCAACTGAGCCACGCTGACACCCCTGAAGAACTTTCTGAATGAAGACAGGAACAGTGAGCTACCAGGTCTCTGTCATTTAATGTAGTCACAGAGAGATTATCTGACTGTTTGCCATGGAGGTGAGCTAACCTATAAACTCATCAGGAGAGGGTATTATATTCACTGATACCCAGCTCAACACACAAGTCAATACATGGTTGACAGAGATAAAAGGAGAAGGCTAGGAAAAAAAGTATTACTTTAGGTCTCTTCCAGATCGAAGATTCTACTACTAATTTCATTTCATAGTTATTATTAGTTATTAGTTATATTTTTTATTAAAAAACAAACCCCAGGGGCACCTGGCTGGCTCAGATGGTGGAGCATGTGACTCGATCTGTGAGTTCAAGCCCTACGATGGGTGGAGATTGGGTGTAGAGATTACTTAAAACAAGCACACAGGGCGCCTTCAGCTCAGTGAGTTAAGCATCTGCCTTCAGCTCAGGTTATAACCTCGCAGTTTGTGGGTTCGAGTCTCACATCGGGCTCTGTGCTTGGGATCCTCTCTCTCTGCCTCTACCCTGCTTGTGCATGCTCGCTCTCTCTCTCAAAATAAATAAACTTAAAACACACACACATTCATGCCACCACCCCACCCCACCCCCAAATTGTTTCTGTAAAATTTGGGTTAAAAGAGAACATGGCATAGCTTTAGGATTACTTCATTTCATTTTGAAAACAATGTCAAAAGAGATTCTAATCAAGTCCTGAGAAGTAGAGGTACAGGCTTTGGTTGTCGCTGCCTCCTGTTAAAAACTATTATTAAAGTCATTATGAAACTTCCTATTCAACTTCCTGCCGAAAATCTAAAAGAATTAAAAATTTTAGCTAGTGTCAGTGTGTAACACAGAGCCCCAGAGATGTCAGACTATTTGACAACCAGAGAAAGCAACCTTGTGATTCATTTTTCTATAGTATAGATCATCCTACTATCTGAGCATTTAGGGAACCAACAAAAATCCCTGAATTCCCATAAAACTTCAAACCAACCAACCAACCAACCAACCAACCAACCCAAAGCTTACTAACCAGAAACTGAAATCTTCCTCCCAGAAACCCAACCTGAAAAAGCCCTCAGGTTACCTCAGAGTCCCCAATCAGTTGAATGGCTTCAGCCAAAGCCGACCAGAAGATAATCTTCACATTTTCTTTTTCAAAGTATGTGGCCCAGGCACTCCGCTGCTCAGCAGTCAGCAAGTCTGCCTTATTTATCAGAATGACATTTTCCTTACTGTCATCTATTTCTTTCACGTAACATTCCTGGGCAAGACAAAGGTATTTAGTTCATATTTACTTCAAACAAGTAAATATTGGGCAAATTATACTGAAGACCCCCAAGTATGACTAAAAATTTTTACTGCCCCTAGTTTTAAGTCAACCCTAATTTAAAGAGTTTTCATCCTGCTACATTCTTTTTTTTTTATTTTAAAAATTTTTTTTTCAACGTTTATTTATTTTTGCGACAGAGAGAGACAGAGCATGAACAGGGGAGGGGCAGAGAGAGAGGGAGACACAGAATCGGAAACAGGCTCCAGGCTCTGAGCCATCAGCCCAGAGCCCGACGCGGGGCTCAAACTCCCGGACCGCGAGATCGTGACCTGGCTGAAGTCGGACGCTCAACCAACTGCACCACCCAGGCGCCCCACATCCTGCTACATTCTAATGATCCTTCCAGTAAGCTCTGAGAAAGGTAGGTCACATACACTTAGAAGTACCCTCAACATAAAAAATTGGAAAGGGTAAAATGAAATGCTCTCCTGTCCTGCTGAAGGGTAATAGATCTTTCCACTTTAAATACTGTTGTTCCTCTCTCTGATACTGCCGAAGTATTTCTTTTACACAAAGAACTGCAGAGCTAGATTTGTCAGCCAGCAGGGACTAAAAGAAAAACAAGACTCGATTAATTGATATTAATTCCCAAACACAGCTCTTCATTAGGGAACACACCAGAGTGTGACTTCACAAGAGTTTCACAAATGAGATTTTTGTCTCTCACCAATGGATTTAAAAATATCCTGTACTATTACTATCATGGTCCTCAAACACAAATAGGAATACTTCACATGTGTACAGTGTTGTACTAATCCAAAGCCTGTATTACATTCTTTCATGTAATCTTCACTCCTTAATTATTACTACCTGTGGTGTTTTACAAATAGTTCACTGTAAAATATCACAGCAGGTAGTAAGTAAGGTGTGAGGAGAGAGAACATGACAGGATGGGTAAGACGGGACTAAAAAGTACAATGTTATTTAAACCGATGTCTCTTAAAAAATGAGAAACACTGGCAAATATCTATTAACAAACTGGCTTCTAAACTAGAAGCTAGAGAGTTCAGGTGTTTGTCCCTTCCTGCAGATGAAAATGATTGTTTTAGAAGGAAAACACCTGTCTAAACAGCAGCAGTGTGTAAGCGCCCGACCCTGGGAGGAGAGGGGGCCTACTTGAAGCTAGAGGAGGGAACAGACGCTTGCCTACAGTTACTGCTGTCAGTGAGGCCGTCCTCCCACCGCGGCTCTGAGGACTGCACATTTGAATTTTGTCACACTTTACTTACCAAGTCCTCACATCTAAACAGGAGTGGGTTTCGAGCATCTACTATTTGGACCACGATATCACTGAAAAAGAAATATGAGATACTCCAACCACTGTGAAGTGAAACATGACCACATAATAATAATAGCAAACACTGTCCATATATTAGCACTTGGCACATCAATCGTTTTAAGGTATAATTATCCCCAGTTTATGTATGAGGAAACTGAGGCTTAGGACAGTTAAGTAACTTGTCTAAGGTCACCAGCTACTCCTGATGGAGCTCGAAGGGAGCTCTGTCTGGACCAGAGGACATGCCTGTAATCATAACATTCTCTTGCTGTTTTATGTCCGAGAGGACCCTGATGATGTTTCATTGCTAAAACTTCAACCGGATCTTCTAGTAAACTCTCCTGGTGAGGCAAAAGAGTATTCCAAATACTTTAATCCAAGATGAGGTCTACTGCATACTCAGTACCTAATCCACACTGGGGTTAAGACCTCAAAAGAAAACTAATAAATCACTTGCTGACAGCAGCCACTATCAAAGCCTGTATGTTTTTTAAACCCAGGGCTGACAAGAGAAAGCATACATCCAGCAAATCATCATCCATCAGTTCCAACAATGTGTTTAAGTGGCACAAATACAAAACAGGAAAATATCAACTTAAGATGCCACACTGAAGCAGGAATGATGAGTCCAACTTCTGTCACATAGAAGATGCAGGAGTAAGAGAACCTTCTGTAGCTGATACAAGCTCCTTAAAGCCCTCACAAATGTAGTGGGGACTACAGCACCCTAGCACTGCAAGAATAAGTATCTCACTTCCCTGGGAGGATCACCCTTCCCATCCTGCCTCTGTGCCTAGGAAAGATGCTCTAAGGGGCAGCCGCAACTGCCACTGGAAGGAAGTAAGTCTGGAATTGTGATCCTTCCAGCTTTGGTTTTCTTTTTCAACATTACTTTGGCTATTCGGGATCTCTTCTGGTTCCATACAAATTAAAAAATTTTTTTTTTAAACTTTATTTTTGAGAGAGAGAGAGAGAGAGAGACAGAGTGCAGGCAGGGGACGAACAGAGAGAGAGGGAGACACAGAATCTGAAGTAGGCTCCAGGCTCCAAGCTGTCAGCACAGAGCCTGACACAGGGCTTGAACCCACAAACCGTGAGATCATGACCTGATCCGAAGTTAGACGCTCAACTGACTCAGCCATCCAGGCGCCCCATTTATTTTTAATCTTCATTTATTTTTGAGAGAGACAGAGTGCAAGCGGGGGAGGAAGAGATAGATGGTTCCATACAAATTTTACAATTGTTTGTTCTAGCTCTGTGAAGAATGCTGGTGGTATTTTGATAGGGATTGCACTGAATGTGTCGATTGCTTTGGTTAGTATAGACATTTTAACAATATTTGTTCCTCTAATCCATGAGCATATGAAATGCTTTTCCATTTCTTTGTGTCCTCTTCAATTTCTTTCATAAGCTTTCTTTGTTTTCAGTATACAGATCTTTTACTCTTTGGTTAGGTTTATTCCTACGTATTTCATTCCTAGGTCTTTTTGGTGCAACTGTAAATGGGACTGATTCCTTGATTTCACTTTCTGCTGCTTCATTATTAGAGTATAGAAGACATGCAACCAATTTGTGTACATTGAGCTTACATCCTGTGACCTTGCTGAACTTATCAATCAGTTCTAGCAGTTTTTTTGTGGAGTCTTTTGGGTTTTCCAAAAGTGGAGTATCATGTTGTTTGCAAAGAGTTAAAGTTTAACTTCTTTTTTGTCAATACGAATGCCTTTTCTTTTTGTTGTCTGATTGCTGAGGCCAGAATTTTCAGTCCTGTGTTGAACAGCAGTGGTGAGATTGGATATCCCGGTCATGCTCCTGACCTTGGGGGGAAAGCTCTCAGTTTTTTCCCATTAAGGATGATATCAGCTGTGGTCTTTCATATACGGCCTTTATGATGTTGACGTATGTTCCTTCTATACCTACTTTCTTGAAATTTTTTATCAAGAAAGGATGCTGTATTTCGTCAAATTCTTTTTCTGCATCTACTGAGAGGATCATGTGGTTCTTATCCTTTCTTTTATTAATGTGATGTATCACACTGATTGATTTGGGAATACTGAACCACCCCTATAAGCCCAGAAATAAATCTCACTTGATCATGGTAATTTTTTTTTTTTTAATGTAGTGTTGGATTTGATTTGCTAGTATCTTGTTGAGAATTTTTGCATCCATGTTCATCAGGGAAATAGGGTCCGTAGTTCTCCTTTTTAGTGGGGTCTTTGTCTGGTTTTGGAATCAAGATAATGCTGGTCTCACAGAATGAATTTGGAAGTTTTCCTTCCACTTCTATTTTTTGGAACAGCTTCAAAAGAATAGGTAGTAACTATCCTTTCAATGTTTGGTAGAAATCCCCTCGGGGCGCCTGGGTGGCGCAGTCGGTTAAGCGTCCGACTTCAGCCAGGTCACGATCTCGCGGTCCGGGAGTTCGAGCCCCGTGTCAGGCTCTGGGCTGATGGCTCAGAGCCTGGAGCCTGTTTCCGATTCTGTGTCTCCCTCTCTCTCTGCCCCTCCCCCACTCACACTTGCTCTCAAAAATAAACTAAACATCAAAAAAAAAAAAAAAAAAAGGCAGTTGCTTCATGTGCTGAATTAGCACATGCAAAGTGCTGTATACCAGAAAAGGCTCATGCAGCACAATAATGCCTTATCTTACTGGAATACGGTGTTCTGCCCTCAGTGCCCCAGCAGCTTCCTGCATTTCAATTACAGGGTATACATCGAATCTTTTCCAATAACGACTCTCGAAATTAAAGAGCCAGATGGCTTAGCTAGCTTATTACCAAACAGGAGACATCTGCTATGCAAAACACATCAACAAATATTTCCTGTTAAAAAATGTGGCAGTAGTCCCTTTATTAATAATATTTCTATGTGGGGAGCCTGGGTGGCTCAGTCGGTTAGGCGGCCGACTTCGGCTCAGGTCATGATCTTGCGGTCCGTTGAGTTCTAGCCCCGCGTCGGGCTCTGTGCTGACAGCTCAGAGCCTGGAGCCTGCTTCATATTCTGTGTCTCCCTCTCTCTGGCCCTCCCCTGTTCATGCTGTCTCTCCCTGTCTCAAAAATAAATAAACGTTAAAAAAAAAATTAAAAAAAAATATTTCTATGTAATTCAGATCCACTTCCATGTGATCTAAACTATACTGAGCTACAAATACGCTCTCTCTTATAAACAGAAAAATACAGCATAATAAAACTAACAGAACAAGTAATATTGTAAATCTATTGAAGCTACAGGCTCACTCTGGGGAAACCAGTAGCTTATTTAGGGACATAAAAAGTCTGTCAAATGTGGAAGAAGGAACACATATGCTTACCTCTGTTCCCTCTTAAAACCTACAAAAACGAAAGCAAACTCTGATGCTCGTCAGGATAAAGAGAAAGAAAGAACAGCAGCAACTGAGACATGGTAGCGCAATCAAGAAGCCTGTTCACGCCTCAGAGCCCTGAGGGAGCTCGGGACTAGAGGCATCAGATGAAGGCCTTGAGGCAAGGGTGAAGAATGGGACTGACATCAATCTAGTGAGGAGCTCTTAGGTCCTCTCTTCTGTTCCGTTCAGTCTGGCAGTTACACCGCCTGATTCTCCTATCCCAATAGCAGATGGCTAGGGTTTCTTATAGAGAAAACGAACCCAAGAGTCTCCAGAATTGGAACCTCAAGCAACAGGAGAAGATGGGAAAGAGATGCTATACTGAAAAAGGGTGGATTAAACAAGCCTACATACCCCATGGTGAACATGCCCACACACCTTGCGTTATACTCCCACCTTTAGCGACGTTCTCAGTAGGACAGAATTTTTATCTTTAAGAAACTGACTGGATCTAGGGAAAACACCCATAGAGCCTAACATCTTGGGGTATCCCAACAAAATAAAACTGATCCCTGTTCAGTCCTATACAGTGAAGTCACCAGTTGTCAAATTCCATCCAAACAGGTGGTCTTGTCAATCCCCTTTGTAATGCTTCATTCTTAGATACAAACAGACAATAAACATCGCTTGACACGTGAGAAAGGCCTCTTACATAAAAGTCAGAAACCAGAATAAATGGAAAAAAAAAAAGGAACAGACAGGAAAGACAGACAATATAATAAAAAATCTAAAATAAAAAAAAACAAACAGAAAAAACAATACTGTAAATGTGCAGATGGGAGTATTCCAAGGTGAGGTTTCATTACTTTAAAGCTTATTATTTCTCTTTGGAAATAAGAAAACAGGCATTTCAGCAGTCCACATCTTCAACTGTTAATGACGCATTGAAGGAGAGATCCACTCTGCTCCAAAGAAGTTCCCAGAAGAATCATAGTGGGTCTTCCCAAACCTCACTGAAGCCTAACTGAATCAAAGGGGCCTGCACAGACCCTGGGAACCAGCAGCAAGCTTCTACTTTTTTTCAGACTTAGAGATTTGCCTTGTTACTGTGACTTCCCCATATTCCAGCCCAATAGCCCTGTCTCTGCCCCTGAGGGAGCAGGATGGGGAAGGCATGTAAATGACTTAAAAAAAAAAAATTGAGGTATAATCCACCTCTTACCTATAATTGAGGTAAAATTAACCCTTTCTAAGTATGCAATTCAGTGGTTTTTAGTATATACACAAAGTTGTGCAACCATCACCACTATCTAATTCCAATTAAAATAAACCACTCCTTGATTCCGCCCAATCCCTATCAGCTGCTCCTTCCTCTGTAAGAACACAGCCCACTGCCTTTCTATCTGTAACACAGCAAGAATCATAAGCACTTTGGATTTACTGGGTATTGAATCATCTGACAAGACTGCATTTCATTCCTTTGTGTGCCCCTGATGCCCACTGCCCAACATATTTTCTCTTTGTGGTCAGACACCTACTCCTGTTCACACCCGTATTTTCCATATTTCCAATAGGATTCAACAGACATTTGCTGAAATAACTGTAGGTACTTTAGAACTCATCTTACAGAAAACATTTACCATTCCTACATGCTATCAAAGTGTTCACTAAAAAAAAAAAAAAAAAAAAAAGAAAATCAGTATTTTAAAAGAAATACAGCATCTTATTTTCAGTTTTTATAATAATTATCAATAGCTTTTTTTTTTTTTTTAATTTTTTTTCCCAACGTTTTTATTTATTTTTGGGACAGAGAGAGACAGAGCATGAACGGGGGAGGGGCAGAGAGAGAGAGGGAGACACAGAATGGGAAACAGGCCCCAGGCTCCGAGCCATCAGCCCAGAGCCTGACGCGGGGCTCGAACTCACGGACCGCGAGATTGTGACCTGGCTGAAGTCAGACTCTTAACCGACTGCGCCACCCAGGCGCCCCGGAATAGCTTTTTGCATACTTTAAGCCCTGAGCACCCCGCCCCGTGAGCCTATGAGCATTCATCAACATCCAGATATGATTAATGTTAATACTACTAATGTCTTGGTTAGACAAAAAGAAAATGGTAACTTACCTTCTCTCAATCACCCTCCACAGCTGGCGCCAAAAGTCCAAATTTCTTTCAAATGGAGTCAATAGTAACTTTTGTTCCTCTTCCAGCCTGGCTTTAGAATGAAAAGTTTATATCTTTGCCAGATTATAACTTATGGTTTCTAGTAGTATAAACACTCAAATTAATTGCATTAAAAAATAAGCTCACACACACACCCCCACACACGCACACAAATACTATCAAATTGTTTTTATATACTTTCTACTGAGTCAATATGAAAATCAAATTTGAAATTGTATACTTAATCTATTTAAGCCCTGGAAGTTTAGCACACAAAATGTCATTTCTCCCACGCACCTCTTTCTGGAGGAATGCTCAAGAGAGCGGTGATGAACTCCAGGATGACTAATGGCTACAGAAGGGTATGAAAAAGAGAGAAGGCCAGGAATAGAGCAGAGTAATCAATTTACCATCTCTGGGCAAAGATGCATGAGTACCCAGCAATGCTGGTTGCACAAAGAAACCGCACTTATAAGAAGAAATCTACCATTTCCCTTCTAAAAGAATCAAGCCTTCAAAATGCAAATAGTGCAAACACACCAAAATGTCAGACTCAGAATTTCAAGACAAATCTTCCTATCTTCTAATACTCACCGGACAAGCTGACGTCTCCATTCTAGAAAGTTATCTTTCTCTGCCTGTTTGAGTTCTTCAGGACTAGTGTTTTTGTCCCACTTTGGTCTGAAACAATTACAGAGGGAAAAAACAATCCACGAGTTACCAAAATAAAATGGGATTTGGATTTAATAATGACAGCTGAGAAAAGGAAACAGGCAAAAAGAGAACACCAAATTAAAAATTTTATACTCAGGGGTCTTGTTATGCCTTATAATGTCCCACATTCTTGTTCAACTCACCTCCGTGGTACACTCAGGAATTGTTTGTTTTTTTCATGGAGTTTCTTAATTCTCTGGCTCTCCTCAAAAGACAGCAGTCCAGTTCTAGCCTCTGGATGCACAAACTTAATATTCAGCTTCTCTGTTTAGAGAAAAGAAAGTACTGTTCCTGAAGTGACAACATAGATAGTGAATACTGATCACTACCTGCAAAACTAAAAATACAGTACCTAAAACAGAATTTAAGCTTGATTAAAAAAAAAAATGTTTATTTTTGAGAGAGAGAGAGAGACAGAGACAGAGAGAGAGAGAGAGAGAGAGAGAGAGAGCATATGCAGGGGAGGGGCGGAGACACAGAATCTGAGGCAGGCTCCAGGCTCTGAGCTGCCAGCACAGAGCCTGACTCAGGGCTCGAACCTACAAACTGTGAGATCATGACCTAAGCTGAAGTCGGACACTTAACTGACTGAACCACCCAGGTGCCCCTTTAAGCTTTCTTGATTTAGATATCTCCAGCCTTGGATAAATAATTTCCAAAAAAGGAATGAAAGAAAAAATCTTGGGGCACCTGGGTGGCTCAGTCAGTTAAGCATCCGACTCAGGTCAATCTCATGGTCCTGAGATTGAGCCCCATGTTGGGCATGGTACTAGGCGTGGAGCCTGCTTCAGATCCTTCCCCTCTCCCTCTGCCCGCCTCCTTTGTGTGTGTGCTTGCTTGCTTGATCTCTCTCTCTCTCAAAAATAAATAAATAAATAAATAAATAAATAAATAAATAAATAAATAAAACAAAAAACAAAAAAACCTTTACTAACGCTTTCAAAAGGTCAACCATCTTTTCAAGTACTAATTTTATAAAACTCCATATACTGAATGCGTTTCAAGGAAGCAAACCGTAAGAGTGGGAAGGGACTACAAAGATTCAGCACAACCAATCTCATTTTACACATAGAGAATAATTAAAGACAATAAGAGTGGGTGGGGAAGCAAAGATTCAGCAAAAAGACTCACTCCAGTTAACACCGGTCAACTCCTACACAGCTACAATTTATGTAAGATATTTATGATGAATGCCCACAATTAATGCTGCGTAACAACTGAAAGGAATAAAATAAATGTCAAGTTCATGTATAAACTACGGAGAGCCCTGCTCTAGGGCCCTATCCCCCCAAGTTGCTCTCGGCCTCTCTATTTCACCACACATAGCCACCTAGTCTCCATGGGCAGAGGATTCCATTGAGAGAAGCCAGTTAAACTTCTTACCTAATTGCTAAGGGAAGGTCCTATTCAAACACAACAGAACACCTTTAGGAGTGTTCCTCTTGACCTTCAAGCAGAGTGCTACCTGCTACCCGTCAGACTAACACCACCATCTATGACCTTGGTCTGCACACTCCAGTAACATAGAGTACGGTCCACCCAACCATTACTGTCATTCATGCCATCTTCAACCAAGTCAAAACACACACCTCTTTAGCCCCATATTTGGTAATTCTTTCTCCTTCCAATGGTGATCCCCCACCTGACGTTCCCACTTTGCTGTGTCTAACCTCTGTCCATGCCTCTACCCTCTTGATTCTTTCCTCTTTTCCCAGTCCCACATCCAGCTCAAAGCTTCATTTCCTTCCTTATTTGGCTAAAACCATATGGTACAACCACCCTCCAACTCAACATTAAAATTCCTTACTCTACTGCATCCGCTACCAAACCTCCTAACCTTAAAAAAGCCAAGTATCCCTTGTGATTTCAGTAGCAATGCTCTCAGGGTTGCTGCAAGTAACACAATACAGCCACTTGTCTCTGAACTGTTTTTACTTACAACACTTCTGACACCAAATGGGTGCATTTTTCCACACCAGCAACCAGCTCTCCAACTCTGACAACAACTCGATGTCCTACAATTCCATCATATTCTGACACTATCAAGAGTTAGTGTCACACTCTACAGGTTTAAAGGCTCAGTCCCACAAGACTGTTCCACTTCAGATGCCAAGTCTCTGAATGGGCTTTTATTGCACAGGTACAATTGATTAAATCACTGGTTACTGGTGTTAGCCTAATCTCTAGCACCTCTTCTGAGGTCCTGAAAATTGCAACCCATAATCACAGGGTTGGTTCCTACTGCAACCAGCCCTGCGTAGAAGCTACCTAGGGACCCACAAGTTCCTCATTAGCATAAACTCAAAAGTTAATAAATTGTAAGGGGATTATTATGAGTAACAAAAGACACTCCTCTCACCCCTGACTCAGGAAGTTACCAACAAGGGTTTTAGAAGCTCTTGTATCAGGAATCAGGGGGTGAAGACAAAATATATGTTACCACAACATCACATTTTCTCCTTATTTGCTGAAAACAAGGAGTGAGCACTACCTGTGCCATCTTTTAAAAGTAAAGAGTTCCCAAAGAACATTTAGCATTTGTCATTATTCTGCAATCCTCTGTTAGGTCAGGAACTCACATGAAAATGTACTTAAAAATCACTGATCATCAACCAATCCAAAAACATACACGTGCGTGCACACACATGCACGTAAATTTAGCATGCAATCTGCAGGGTCCACACACAGGTGAAATATGTAGTTTCCTGGTTAAGAATCCCTATCCCTGTGTGTCCAGCAGTGTCTGCAGGCTACAGAGAATTGAAACAAAATTCTATCACCTCCACATTCATTATTAAGGGAAAGGAAGAAAAGGTATAAAATAAATTATTTTTTTTATTGTAGAGAGAGAGAGAGTGTAAGCAGGGGAGAGGGCCAGAGGGAGAGAGAGAAAAATGTACGAAATAAATTTTAATGAGAAATTTTAATGGAATTTGAAAGGTTTATGTAGGCACTATGTAGGCACACTTGATTAAATCACTGCCCTTTATGATTGGCTTCATCTCCAGTCCCTCTCCCCTCCCCCAAAGGTGAGCCCCATGTCGGGCTCTGTGCTGACAGCTCAGAGCCTGCAGCCTGCTTCAGATTCTGTGTCTGTCTCTCTGCCCCTCCCCTGCTTGCTCTCAAAAATAAAACAGTAAAAAAAAAAAAAATTAAAAATTTTAATTACACAATACATAAACTTTCTTTGTAAAAACATTCAACAATAAAGTAAGGCCAACATTCTCTATAACCAACTCCCAACCTTCTGCCCACCCCTACAAACTTGGTTCCCTCCCTTGAGATTATCCATTAAATGTGTGGGCGTCCAAGTTTTTTCCTAATACACACATACATATATAAATTGGTCATATTATTTTCTTTTCTTTTTTTTTTTTAATTTTTTTTTCAACGTTTATCCATCTTTGCGACAGAGAGAGACAGAGCATGAACGGGGGAGGGGCAGAGAGAGAGGGAGACACAGAATCGGAAACAGGCTCCAGGCTCTGAGCCATCAGCCCAGAGCCCGACGCGGGGCTCGAACTCCCGGACCGCGAGATCGTGACCTGGCTGAAGTCGGACGCTTAACCGACTGCGCCACCCAGGCGCCCCGGTCATATTATTTTCTTAATGTAAATGGTACCACACTATATGGGCTCGAACTCATGAACTACGAGATCATGACCTGAGTCAAAATCAAGAGTCAGGACACTTAACTGACTGAGCCACCCAGGTGCCCCATCTTGGGTCTTTTAGTGTAACAGGTCATGGAGATCCTTCACTTTAGCATCCAGAAACTTACCTCATTCTTTTTAACTGCCACAGAGTATTTCAGTGTGTTTATACCACAGTTTAGCCATTTCCCCACCTATTGAACATTTAGGTTGTTTCCAAGTGTTCATTGCTAAAATACAGCATTATCTGGGAACTTTTGAGAAATGCAAATTCTCAGGCTCAACTCACACCTACTGAATCTCCAGAGGAGGGGCCCAGGAATCTGTTTCCTAGGTAACTGTGATGCTCACTAAAATTTGAGAACCACTGCTCTAGGACAAGTATTGAAAAATGGAAACACCAGGTCATGAAATATGTACTTTAAATTTTTATCCTGTCAAACCAAATGTATATTCAACCTCTCTCTGCTCACTCTCACCCTATAACCTATGCATAGGTTTATTAACCTTGATAACTTTTACACACACACACACACACACACACACACACACACACACACAACCTCTCTGCCACAGTCAAGTATCTCAAAAGAATACAACATGCTCATTAACTCGATTTCTTTACCTTCCTTTTTTTTTTAGTTCTTAAAATGTTTTTATTTTATTTTTGAGAGTGAGAGAGACAGAGCATGAGTGGGGGAGGGGAAGAGAGAGAGGGAGACAGACACAGAAACCAAAGCAGGCTCCAGGTTGTCAGCACAGAGTCTGATGCAGGACTCGAACTCACAGGCCATGAGATCATGACCTGAGCCAAAACTGGATGCTCAACTGACTGAGCCACCCAGGTGCCCCACCCACCTCCCTCTTTTTCTACTCCTTTTTCTCTCTCCTCCAATGATGGCTCTACCTCTCCCCATTCTTCTTCACTCACTCCACTCCCTTCCACAAAGTCTGGTTTATTACATCTCCCTAGTAATCTTGTTCCAATTTTTTGTGCCATTCTTCTACTACTATTTCTGTCTGGCCTGCTTTTCTTGCTGGACAGTCATTCCTCTTCAAAATCCATCAGTGACCTTTCAAAACAATGAAATCTAAAATCATGTTTCATACCTGCTTAAGCCTCTAGAAAGACTCCTTTAAAAGCCCTACTTTTCAATATTTTTAATATTTAAAGCCTTTGCTGGGGCATCTGGGTCAGTTAAGTGTCTGACTCCTGATTTCAGCTCAGGTCATGATCTCCCGATTCGTTGAGTTTGAACCCTGCATCCGGCTCTCTGTTGACAGTGCAGAGCCCTCTTGGGATTTTCTCTCCTTTTCCCCCACTTGCTCTCTCTCAAGATAAATACACATTAAAAAATAAAATAAGATAAAACCCTTGCCCACCTCCCTTGTGTTTGCTCATCACATCCTGTGTCTGTGTACTTCAAGCACCTGCAAGGCCAACTTCTAGCCATTTTCTGAACAAAGTAAGCTGCTGCTCACATCTTAGCTGGAGTTCTCTGCCTGCTCACGTATACTGTCCTGTGTCATCTCACCTGTGTCACCCTTTGAGACTCAGCCCAAGCATAGAGCTTTTCTTGAGTGGCCCCAGTCCTCTTTCAGACAGAATGAATACTAACTACATCTTTTGTGATCCCATTGTTTGCTACAGACTTCTTTCATAGCACCTAAAACAAAAGTTGGCAGAAATAAAATCATCGTATTCAACATTGTACTCTCAGTAGCCAAGACAATCCCTGATAGTAGCTGAAGCCCAATAAAAGCATCTAAACAAATCAATGAATTTGCTAAACAACACAATAACACTTATCATAATGAAAGAGCAATAGAAATAGTTTATAATGCTACCTCTGTGCTTAGAAGACACATACAAAAAAAAAAAAGGACAGCAGTGACTAAAACAGATTACGTGCATGGATAATTCACAACCCTGTGTCAACAAGTACTTTAAAACACAATTCAGGGGCGCCTGGGTGGCTCAGTCGGTTGAGCGGCCGACTTCGGCTCAGGTCACGATCTCGCAGTCCGTGAGTTCGAGCCCCGCATCGGGCTCTGTGCTGACAGCTCGGAGCCTGGAGCCTGTTTCGGATTCTGTGTCTCCCTCTCTCTGACCCTCCCCCATTCATGCTCTGTCTCTGTCTCAAAAATAAATAAGCATTAAAAAAAAAAAAAAAAAAAGAAAAAAAACCACAATTCAAACTGCCTAAGTAACAGCACCAGGCCCAGGATTTTGCTTCTAACTATGGTATCAGAAAACATTTTCTGGGGGCGCCCAGGTAGCTATCGGTTAAGCATATGACTTGGGCTCAGGTCATTATCTCGTGGTTTGTGGGTTCGAGTCAGGCTTTGTACTGACAGCTCAGAGCCTGGAGCCTGCCTGGGATCTGCCCCTCCCCAATCACACTCGGTCTCTCAAAAACGAATAAACATTAAAAAAAACCCTCGTTCTTTGACTCTCTCCCGCTTGCACTCTGCATCTCTCTCTCTCTCTCTCTCTCTCTCAAAAATAACCAAACTTTAAAAAAAAAAAACATTTTCTGGAAAGTGCTGGTATTGTCCACCATAATGCTGACTGGTCTTTATCCCACAAGAGATTGAGTTTTTTGATATAATGAGGTACATAATCTGAAGGTGTTTTTAGAGTTAATTTTATTTTATTTTTTATTATTTATTTATTTATTTATTAACGTTTATTTTTGAGACAGAGAGAGACAGAGCATGAACGGGGGAGGGTCAGAGAGAGGGAGACACAAATCTGAAACAGGCTCCAGGCTCTAAGCTGTCAGCACAGAGCCCGACGCGGGGCTTGAACTCATGGACCGCGAGATCATGACCTGAGCCGAAGTCGGTTGTTCAACCGACTGAGCCACCCAGGCGCCCCTAGACTTAATTTTAAAACTGTGGCACATTCTGAACCTCACAGCTTGATTCTACTTGAGTAGACATTCCCACGTTCTTCTGGGATATGTGCCTCTGCTTAAAGACGGCTCATTTATGAGTTTATTTTATTTTTAAAGGTTTATTTATTCGAGAGGTGGGGGGCAGGGAGGGAGAACCAGTAGGGGAGGGGCAGAGAGATGGAGACAGAAGAGCTATTAGCACAGAGCCCGATGCAGGGCTTGAACTCACAAACCATGAGATCATGGCCTGAGCCAAAGTCGGACACTTAACCGACTGAGCCACCCAGGCGTCCCTGTTTATGAGTTTACCAGGGTCCACAGAACACTTCCAAGCAGACATATTTGTACCTAGTCAGCAAAGATGGAAAGGTGACCAGTGTCCCATGTACTCAGAAATAAACCACTTACCAGCTACAAACTCTGTCCCTGCAAGTTCTGCAGTTGCAAGGAAGTCATCGAGGGAACTCTGTTCAGTTACTGACCGAAGATTAAGACGACCCCAATCGTAGCCATCATTGAGCTCACTTGTGTGCAACTATGAATAAAACACAGGGTAAATAAGACAGTTGCTCTCTTCTGCCTCTGACATTTGAAGAAACTTTACACTCCCAAGGAACTATTCTGTGGTCTTGAGAGTGGTGTCAGGCCCTTTAGAGTCAATATTAATACCGGTTAACACTTAAAAGAGCACTTGTTTACCTCTTAACAGGCACTTTCCATTCACTATTTCATTTAATTTTCAAAACCTTTTGAACTAAATTCTATTAACTCTATTTTACTGATGAGGAAACAGTCTTGAATAAATAAAAATAACTTGCCCAGAGTTGCTGCTAATAAGTGGTAGAGGTAGGATCTGAATCCAGACTGTCTGATCCTGGCAGATGTCGTAGAAAATTTTTGATGGAGACCCACAGTAAAAAATACATGTTTAGGGGCGCCTGGGTGGCTCAGCTGGTCAAGCGTCCGACTTTGGCTCAGGTCATGATCCAGCAGTTTGTGAGTTCGAGCTCTATGCCGGGCTCTGTCTGTGATGACAGCTCAGAGCCTGGAGCCTGCTTCCGATTCTGTGTCTCCCTCTCTCTCTGCCCCTCCCCTGCTCATGCTCTCTCTTTCTCTCTCTCAAAAATACACAAACATTAAAAAAAATTTTTTTTTTTTAAATTTTTTTTTTCAACGTTTATTTATTTTTGGGACAGAAAGAGACAGAGCATGAACGGGGGAGGGGCAAAGAGAGAGGGAGACACAGAATCGGAAACAGGCTCCAGGCTCCGAGCCATCAGCCCAGAGCCCGACGCGGGGCTCGAACTCACGGACCGCGAGATCGTGACCTGGCTGAAGTCGGACGCTCAACCGACTGCGCCACCCAGGCGCCCCAAAAATTTTTTTTTAACATGTTACAAAGTCCTCCAAATGCTGTGATCCGCAGAGTGATACAATTCTATGCCATTCAGTAGGGCAAAATAGAAACAACAGAATCCTGAAGCAGAGTTACCTCATCACATGTAATACACTGATATTCTGAATTCTATCCTGTTGGGTTAAAAAACCAGTAGATGGGGGGCGCCTGGATGGCGCAGTCGGTTAAGCGTCCGACTTCGGCTCAGGTCACGATCTCGCGGTCCGTGAGTTCGAGCCCCGCGTCAGGCTCTGGGCTGATGGCTCGGAGCCTGGAGCCTGTTTCCGGTTCTGTGTCTCCCTCTCTCTCTGCCCCTTCCCCGTTCATGCTCTGTCTCTCTCTGTCCCAAAAATAAATAAACGTTGAAAAAAAAAATTAAAAAAGAAAAAAAAAAAACCAGTAGATGGGACTTACATAATTAATTTCCAGGAGCAATACAGAGTTTGCTAAACACTATTCTAGCCACATGCTCAGCACAGGTACAAATAAATTGCAAAGTTGAAGGTTAAAAGATTAGGTGGTCTAAGTCCACAGGCCAGCAAAAAAAAAAAAAAAAAAAAAAAATCAGAGAAAGGATTAGAATCCAGTTTAGAACTCATATTCAATCTTCTTACCACTTCCTAAAGGATATACAACAAATTCCTTCAAAATCAATGAAAAGTTATCAGTAATCTACGGAGTAACTTGGACCTGCTGACTGTTGCAGAGCCCTGTATGCGTTTACTCTGCCCAGGGAACGGATGGGAGTCCGACGGTGTGAGAGTGGCTCGCAGGGAGTTAGCACTAGGGATATTTTTTATTTTAGCGTAGGTTCTTACGGAAAACCAAGTGAATCTCAAATACCTGGGAGTATGAGTAGACCAAACAAGTCAAATTACCTCATCCATTTTTCAAGGATCTTAAAATTATGTTCATCCCCAGGCCCTGGGAAATGTTAGGCCAGCTCGCCACATTTTGGAGATTCATCTTCCAAAGCGAAACACTTAGGGAATAATAAGGATGCAGCAAGCATCTGCGTTATTTTGTTATTTCTGGTGGCAAGCAGCCGCTCCTGGGGTTCTTGCATTCTTTGAACAACACCAAAATTAGTAGCTTTTCTGTCTTTCCTACTCAGAAACTCTCAACGTCCCTGGCATTCGAGATCCTTCAAGTTCTCACAATAGCTTCACCATCACACCAGCCCTCCCTTCAAGCCTCTACCTCTGCGCCTTGCTAGAAGGACTGCTTATCGGTCTGACAGTAACTTCCACCAACTCATCTTTCACACTTGATCTTAGCCAAAAGGCCGAGAAGCGATGCACCAACTCATCTTTCAAAACCGTACTTCGGCGTCACTTTCCCTAGAAAATGTTCCTGTGACCTTTGACCCCACGCGGATCTCCTGACTAGAAAGAAAGGCTTAGAGAGAGGAAAAGCTCTGTGTTACCCAGGAATCGGCGTGACGGTGGTGACGGCTCCGCTGAGTCTTCTGGCGGATAAGGGCCCGGCCGAGAGTCCCGGCATCGGGCGCTCTTCTGCGGCCCATGGCGGCACAACACTCGCGCCAGGCCTTTCCGCCCGGCACGCGCGTTTTCCGGTATTCAAGAGCTCGACCCCCGGAAGTGACGTATAAGCGAGCCCAAGTGGTGGAGGCCCGAGTTGAAGAGAAAACGGAATAACTTGCTCCAAACTGCCCTTTGTACATCTAGAGTTGCCACTATTATAAAATATAAATGTTAAAATGGCCTCATAATTGAATTTCTATGACTATATCTGCGAATATCTCAAATTTGGATAAAATGTTTGAATTAAAAGAATGGTACTTTCCAGATTCGTGCGTTGATCTTTAGCGTCCGGCGAGGAACTAGGAGACCTGAAAAAATGGCCGCTCGTATTCTGGGTCCTAACTCCGCCTCCCAGCTGTTTTTTGTCATTGAAGAGGCGGAGACTTACAGCCGCGCGAAGAGGCGCTGTTTCCTGGCGCTGGTTTTCAGCCTGCGTCTGGAGGTATGGTCTGACACCTTCAAGTCCGGAATCTAAGTAGTTTTTGTTTACTTAGTCTTTCCTAGCTGCGAACTGAGGAGAAAAGTCCTTGCCTCGATGGGAGTTCGGAATGGAAGGATGACTGTTTCCAGAATTTGGCAAGGTTGCATGGAGAGCCCACAGAATCTGACTTTAATGAGTTAAAAAAAAAAAAAAAGTTCCACTTAGAATTGCATTAAAATTTCCTAAAATTAAGTGAAAACTGTGCCGGCTCCACTCTTTGCGGCCTGGGCTTTTGATCCTCACTTCATCGTTAATTTCCCAAAGCTGGGAATGTAAAATGCTGGGTTAGAGTTGTGTGGGCGCTGGGCGTTTTACCTGCATTTAATTAATTGTGAGAACCACCTCAGTGTTACCATGCTCAGAGAGGAAGCAGCTTGCTCAAGTCATAGGTGGAATTTATATGGTGTCAGGAGTCAAACCCACATGTCATCAACTACCTTATATGTTCTTGGGGAGAGGGAAGAATGAGGGTTGTGAGAGGGCATTTCAGAACCCAGTGCTCCTCAGACTTGAACATACCTGTGGATCCTCCCAGGAATCTTGTTAGCAAGCAGTTCTAATTAATAAGGTCTGGGACTTGGCCCAGTACTCTGTACTTCTAACAAGCTTAGGGGTGGCACTGATGCTAACGTTCTGGTCCATTGGCCACACTTTGAGTACCAAGAGAAGTCCACTCCCTTCCTGTTCACATGAAGGCGCTGAACCGTCTAAAAAGTCAATCACAGCAAGTTAGGGGCATGCAAAGCTGGGACCATACCGCCCACCCATCTTTGGATTCCCAGCCCACGTGTGCTACACCTCACTGCTGACCCATACTGAATTGAAGTGAACTTTGGGAAACAACCAAAGGATCGCTGAAAAGCCATGTAGTAGTTGACTTCAGGAAGTCAGTGCCCACAGATCAGTGAATGAATGCATCAGAACATGGTTTCTCCCATTTCCTAGGGTAGAAACGGTATATCTTTAAAGAACTTGAACATAATCTCTAGAAGTAAGTTATGGGAAAGATCCATGGAGGAGAATTAGCAGACAGTTCCTGGAATTCTCTTGAAGCTGAGTGGTGAAAGATAAAACTAACTCATAAAGCAGGATTACATGGATTTTACATTCTTTTTTTAAAAAATTCTTTAATGTTTATTTATTTTTAAGAGAGAGACAGAGGGTGAGTGGAGGAGGGGCAGAGAGAGAGGGAGACACAGAATCTGTAGCAGGCTCCAGGGTCCAAGCTGTCAGCATGGAGCCCTACGCGGGGCTCAAATCCATGGACCACGAGATCATGAGCTGAGCTGAAGTCAGACACTTAACCAACTGAGCCACCCAGGCGCCCTGGATTTTACATTCTAATAACAACAGTAGATGATATGAAGAAGCCTGCCATCTCATTACTAGAACTCAATCAGGAACTTGGGATTTCTCTCTCGTCTCCTTTTCCAGATTTTGTCATCTCCAGAGATTCAGTGAAAGCAAACACTTTGGGTTCCTGTTGTCGTTCTTCTCACGCTCTTCTCCAAAATACCTTAACCAAGTAAAGTGATCGTTTAATCAAGACTAGTAGAGAGTCAGACACTGGCATTGTAAGATTATCATAGCAGCAGCTATTCTTGGCTGACAAATAAGTAAGGCATAAGTAATTCTAATATTTCCCTCAAGACATTTCTCAAATCTACCACTGAAAAAGAATGACCCGGGCCTCAGTTTTCTTATGTGTTTAATGGGGATAATAATAATTCCAGTCCTGCAGAGGCAGCAAATGAGATACTGCTGAAAGATCATTGCCTGGTAGTTTTGGGGGTACCACTTTTCACAGCTGAGCAGGTAATAGGTAATAAAGCTGAGCAGGTAATAACCACCCCCCCCCCCCAACAACTGGATGATGCAGGTAATAGTTCACATGTATAATTGACCCATGTTGTGGGATGATGAGGCCAGTTCATTGAGAAGAAGGAGGAGGAAGGGGATTGAGGGTGCTGATGAGATAAGAGTATGGGGTCCAGACTTGGAGGAACAAAGCGGGATCAAGTGGGGAGTGATGATAGTGGTGGTGGAGGGTGGGGCAAGGCACTGGCTGCAAACCAAGGGAGGGGTGTCGCAAAGATGAATCAGCCCAGGTCTCTGCCGGCCAACTGTAGAAGCCATTCCTCCCACACACACCAGGGAACCACACGACCCAGCCAAACTCCTCTCATCACTCTGTCACGACAGTGGAAATGCTCATCCACCAGGCCTGTGCCTGAAAACTGGTCAGATTCTCCTGATTCCCCGCATAGCTGAGCTCTTCCGTTGAAGCCAAGATTCTCTGAACAGCTGACCTCTGGAGGAGGTTGCATTGATTTTGATTCATAGCCAGCTTCCAAATAGCAACAGAGAGCGTTCCTCGTTGACGGTGTTGCATAACACTTGATTTACTGTGGCTAAACAATGTAGTCGCGAGCCCTGAAACCCACACCCAAGGAACAAATTTTGGAGTGGCTCTCCACTCTCCATCTCTGCACTGCTGTGCCTCTGGGTGTCACATCTGTCCGGGGAGGGAGAAGGGAGAGTGGGTGGGTTTCTGGTTTTAATTTTCACCCCTTGGCCAAAAACGTGTCAGTGGCAGAAACCCTGTTCCAAGGCAGGCTTGCTGCCCTGCTTCTCCCTCTCACCCATTCTCTACATCACCTCATTCCAGAAGGGCATGAAGGCGGTTTGCATGAGGCTGAGAGTTGTGAAAATAGAAGTCTGGCGGTCTCCACAGTCACTGACTCAATAAGGAAAACTCCCTCCGGTTGTCTGCCATTCTCGATTTATCTCCATTGAAAATGGGCGGATTCTTACACATGAGTGAGTTTCAATAATCTAGCAGCCTTTTATTTGTGGTCATTATCAGTGATTAACTTAAATCACTCCAGTCAAACATTGATTGCCTGCTTGTGCAAGTCATTCCACGCGGAATGAAAAGTATAAAAGACCTTTTGCTTTGGTGATAAATACTGCAAGATTCTACATATACTATATTTGAACCTGTGAATTTTCTTTTTTTTTTTTTAACGTTTATTTATTTTTTTGGGACAGAGAGAGACAGAGCATGAACGGGGGAGGGGCAGAGAGAGAGGGAGACACAGAATCGGAAACAGGCTCCAGGCTCCGAGCCATCAGCCCAGAGCCCGACGCGGGGCTCGAACTCACGGACCGCGAGATCGTGACCTGGCTGAAGTCGGACGCTTAACCGACTGCGCCACCCAGGCGCCCCGAACCTGTGAATTTTCTACCAAACTGTTTTATGCAGGATATCCAGGGTCTTTTACTCACAGATGACTTTGTAATTATTTTGTCTCCTCACAACAGTCAAGTGAGAAAGGGAACTTTTATTTTTCTGAACTTTTAGTTGTAGAAATCGAGACCCAATAAAGTGAAGCAAAGAGCAAAGTGATTCACTCCTCAACATAGGAGAGTAGAAATAGAATTAATAATAGCCAACTCTAGGGGCGCCTGGGTGGCGCAGTCGGTTAAGCGTCCGACTTCAGCCAGGTCACGATCTCGCAGTCCGTGAGTTCGAGCCCCGCGTCAGGCTCTGGGCTGATGGCTCGGAGCCTGGAGCCTGTTTCTGATTCTGTGTCTCCCTCTCTCTCTGCCCCTCCCCCGTTCATGCTCTGTCTCTCTCTGTCCCAAAAATAAATAAACGTTGAAAAAAAAATTAAAAAAAAATAATAGCCAACTCTAAAATCTGCAGATAGAAAGTGCCACATTTTCCCCATTTATTCATTCATTCATTCATTCATTCATTCATCATGAGGCTCTGGGGAGTCAGCACTGGACAAACACCCTGCCCCCATGAGCTTACATTTTGGTGGTTATCAGACTGCAGAGGGATTCATCCAAAGTTAAGTTGCTCAGGTCAATGGTGGAGCCATGAACCACACCACCAGTTAGACCCTACTCTACCAGGATGGACTTCTGACCACTGGGATTTTACTTTTGTTTCTAAATGTGACCGCTCCCCTTAAATCACTTGATAAATACACTAAGAAGTGCTGGCATGTCGACTTGGATGGTGAGGGAATGAGAAAAAGGTGAAGGAAGTGTTACCAGCCTCAGGAAAGAGGCCTCCAAGACTGTGTGGGGGCCATTTCTGTTTATGGGAAGGACTGTCGTCGGGAAGGGAGAGAAGATGGCTCTGAGTAGACACAAGGCAAGCAGAACTAGAACAAATGGGTAGAAAATACAAAGTTGCAATTTTAGTTTCAATTTGTTTGAACTTTCTGACAATCCGGGTGATTCAAAGATGGAGTGGACCGTTTTATAAGGCAGTGAGCTCTCTGCTACCAGGGGTATTCAGCACAGGATGGATAACCAAGTGTCAGGATGTTCTAAAGCAGGTTCATGCTTCAAAACGGGGGTTGGAATAGATGACCACTAAGGTGCTTAACAGAGTTCTTACCCTGAGAGTTTCCCTTCCCCTTCACACTGCTCTATGTCACCCCGGTATTTGAAATAACAGGGCAACAGCGATGGTCTCAGAAATTGACTGAACATCTGACTCTTGATTTCGGCTCAGGTCATGGTTTGTGAGTTTGAGCCCTGTGTCAGGCTCTGTGCTAAAGGCATGGAACCTGCTTGGGATTCTCTCTCTCCCTCTCTCTCTCTGCTCCATCCCCATTCTCTCTCTCACACACACACGTACACACAAATGAATACATAAACTTAAAAAAAAAAAAAAAAAGAAAGGGTGCCTAGACTGGCAGTAGCAGGGCAGTGCCTTCACCACGTAGCTCTGAGAAAAGACTCTGTCCTGCCCTCCTTGTCACGTGAGTGTGACATCAACTGTGAACCATCAACTAGCAAATTCAGCCATCGTCAGTTACAAATGCTATTATCACAATGGAAAGTGTTAGGGTCCTAGGTTTCTGTTTTTAAGCTAACCATGCAGGGGTTACTGATTTCTCCTCCCTCCAACTTCAGAGGGGACAAACCCATCTGGTTCCTGTCTCTGGTGGTACCGGTGAGAAAGGCTCAAGGTTTCCCTTCTTTTGACTTCTTTCTCTAGCCTTTGCTTTTCTGCCTGGGTTTTGTCTGGGTGGCGAACATCGTAAGCACGCAGTCCATGAAAGGAGGGGCTTCATGGCAAGCGTGTGCCACAGGGACCTCCAGAGTTCAGAGAAATCTACTTGTCTGCTGTTTCTCTCTCACTCCTGAAATGCCCTGTCATGGCCTCTGTTTTCAGTTGAATTGGTGTGTCTCAAAAAGATAGATTACAGTGGCGCCTGGGTGGCTCGGTTGGTTAAGCATCCGACTTCGGCTCAGGTCACGATCTCGCGGTCCGTGAGTTCGAGCCCCGCGTCGGGCTCTGGGCTGATGGCTCAGAGCCTGGAGCCTGTTTCCGATTCTGTGTCTCCCTCTCTCTCTGCCCCTCCCCTGTTCACGCTCTGTCTCTCTCTGTCTCAAAAATAAACGTTAAAAAAAAAAAAAAAGATAGGTTATAGTCCTAACCCTAGATACCTGTGGATGTGGCCTTATTTGGAAATAGGGTCTTTACGGATGTAATTAAATGGAGATGAGGTCATACTGAATTAGGGTGCATCCTAATGTAGTAACATGTGTTTTTATAAGAAGATACAAATTCGGGCACATAGAAAACACAGAGGTAGAGATTCTGTAAGTGAAGGAACGCACGGATCGCGGCTGCCTGAAGCTAAGAAGAGGCAAGGAACGATGCTCCTTTCTTCTGGCCTCGAAAACTGTGAGAGGAAAAGTTTCTGTTGTTTTCACCCCCCTGTATACGGCGATTTGTTATGGCGGCTCTAGGAAACCAATATAACCTCCTGCAATCTCAGGACTAAAAGGGAATTTGCTTAGGTTACCTACTGGGAGGCCAGGGCCCAGACAGGGGCAGCACCTGGGACCCTCCGTGACTCAGGGCTGGGATGTGGGTGTCTAAGCTCTGGTTCTCATCACAGCAAGTCCCTGCTCAGTTGCCCAGTGACTCACCACAGCTTGGGAGACAGTGCCATTCAAGGCCCTCCAGAGTCCGGCCCTGAGCCAACTTGAACACCAAGAGCACAGGCTTCGGTGATCTTGGGCCAGTTTCTTAACTCCTCCCAGCCTCAGTCCTTTTTCTCTGTATAGTGAAGAGCGTATCATGGACCTCACAACACTCTTATGAGGATGAAACATCTGGATGGATCCAAAGCATTTAGCACAGTGTCTGACACATAGTAGGTGCTCAGTATGCTTGAGTTCCCTGCTTTGGGCCCAGTCGTTCAGAGCTCAGCAGTAACCATCCTCTGCATGGGCCATTTTCTCTCTCTGGACTGTCTCCTGTCTTTGCCCAAAGCAACCTGCCTGTCTGTCTTTCAGTGGAGCACGGAGCCCATTCCGCCCCTCCCCCTTCACTAGAAGTTACCTTTTCCTCTGAGCCCCCAGTACTTTGTGTTAACAAAGCTCAGATCACACTTATTTGCACCTATGTTTCACCTACAGCATACCAAAAGTACCTTTCTGAATCAGTGGACTCAGAAGCTCCTTAAAGGTGAGACCGTGTGCATTTCCACAGCACCTAGTGGGGAGAGGCCGGTGCATTAACATTTGTGACTGAATAGCTGTCACTTTGCCCGCTGATTTGCATAGCCTAGCTAAAGATGTGCCAGGCCCACATGCCCAGAGAGAAGTTCAAAAACAAGAGACAAAGGAAAACACAGGTTGCATAATAACCTTTCTCAATGTGAAAACCTCCAAGCATTTACATACACGTTTAATTTCATCGGTACTTCTTTATGCTGTTCTCTGTAAAATAAGAACTGCCACAATTCTCATTGTTTTCCAAGTGAAAATCCCAGAGAGATTAAGGGCCACTGGGCAGAGCGGAGGAGCCCAATGGGCCATCAGACTCTCCTGGACCTGGGCGTGATCTTGACCGCTAGAGAGACCAAAGTCTCACTGTGTAGATCCCATGACAGTCTTGCTTGACTTTAACCTCTTTGGTGGCAGTGACAGCCAGTAACAAGGGGACTTTCCATTAAGGGGTCCAGTGAGCAGCAGCTTAGTCAAGTCACAGGGAGAAGTGTTTGGCACTGCACCTGCCCAGTCTGCCAAATGAAGGCATGAGCCCCCAAAACGTAGCCCTTCAGAGAAGGGGAGAGTAGCAGGACATGTGTTCTGTACACTTGTGTATTTAAAGTCTCCAGCTTTATGTTTAGCCGAAGGAAAGTGCCCTGAATTGAGATTCAGGCCACGTGGGTCCTAATCTTGGCTTCACCGCTAAATAACAGCATAGCCATGCATATGCACTCTCAGGACCTCAGTT